TGTATCATACAGTATGAAAAGAAATTATAGAATACGGTATATAAAAAAATGTACGATTTCCTTAGAGAATTTATTATTCTTTTTTTTTTTCAGCCAAATTTTTTCCATAATCTTCATCTTTTTACAATCAATAACTTTTAACGCTAAGCGCATTATTGCAAAAGTGAATATGATTGATTTAGCTGTCAGCGGCAGTATTTTTTTTTTCGAAAGTTTCACCAAACTGCAATCGGATGAAGCCACAAAGATTCTTTAATAACTTTATCCAGATGACTGCACTAAAAAAGTTGCTCATAGGTGATTTCCTAACATGGTAGTGCTACTTATCAGATAAGCAGATATAACTTTTTTTTTGTTCCATCAGTTTATTCACCACTTAATTAGATTATCACTTTATTTGATCCATTTCTATCGAAGCTGAAATCAAGTATGCAGTTGAAAATTCAAATTTGTGCTACAGACTAATTGCAGCGGAATATTTTTTTTTTTGCTTCAGCATAATTGCTGCAAATGATAATATTACCAATAAATCCTGCTGCAAACTAAAAAAAATTTTTTTTTGTAGAATATCTTAGAAATAAACAAATTATAGGGTTTTTATCGTAACAATTTATAAATTTAACTCCTCTTTACCATTAATATTCTCAAAATAGTAACATCAAGGTTAACCTGAGTTGTACATATTTCGTCAATTTCCTGCTGAAGTTTTTTCAGTCGTTGTTGATCTCGCGCTAAATGCCAAGTCAAAAATGCCAACGAATTGGACGTCGTATCATATCCGGCCAACAAGAACAGTAAACTGTTCGCCACAATTTCATTTTCGCTCATCATTTTTTCTGATCGTTGTAAACCCTGAATAAACTTTTTATCCTGCAATATTCTAATAATTTTTTTCCAAAAATTATACTCTATTTGTGGAATGCTGAAGCAGACAACTTATATGGATGACTTTAAACTACTGTTTTTTTGAAAAAAATTTTTTTCTTTTGTTTTTTTATCTGTTGACTGTGGGAAAATGGTAAAACAATTGCAAAATAAGATAGAGGTTCACACAGCGTTTGTAAGCCACTTACAGGGCCAGAACGATGCTCATAAGTTTTGGCGTTGTTCGACAAATCTTTTTCGGATTCGACACTCGCTTCTGTCGATAAATAAAAGTCATTAAAATCGTTAATCGTCTCATAGTCCTAAAAAATTTGACGGTATTTCTCAAGCAAGCAAGAAATGCTTTATTATATAAAAATTTTTATTCTAAAGAAAAATTTTAAAAAAATTTACTGACTCTGGTCGTCTTTCTTGCCATAACCTCTTTACGAACCAGCTCAAATAGATCTTTAAGATGCAAATTTACTTCACTGCCAATTAAATAGGCAATCTGGCTAAGCCAAGAAGATATTTCGGGAAACAGCTGAATAGAGAAATATAGAAAGCACCTAGAAATTTCTTTAAAAACGACTTTTTCTGTACAATTTTTTCCTTTTTTTTTGTTCTGAACTGAGGCAGAGTGGCCAGTTAAACTTTTGAGAGTGCTTATTAGACAGAAAAATCATTACGAATAAATAAATAAGAAGAAAGGTATTGTTTGAAAAATTGTTTGTTTAAAAAAAGATTTCTTACAATAGCGGCAACGTTTGAAGGATGCCTAAATGGAGTTTTAAAGTTAGCTTTACTGATCCCAAGACGTGGATTGTTAAACTGAGTGGATTCTTTTTTGTCCCACTGCGACGCGTGAAATAATATCCATGGCCATCTCTTGGTAATTCCTAAACGAGACGAATCGGCAGATATCACAACTACAGTTTTATACAGCAAAATTAAAAGTCTGATAGACTACAGCAAGAGTTCTGTAACAGGAATAAAATCTAATACACGTAAATGTTCACAGAGCTTCAGTCTGAAGCGTGCTAGTCCAGGAATTCTTGCATCTTCAAGTCAGAATCTTCAACTAGCGGTTTCGTCTGCAAACTTTTAGGTTAGAAGCTATATGACCTAGTAAATGTTTATTATTCCTTATTTTTTATTTTTACTGCTGTTATAATTTTACAAAATTATTTTAAACTGAGAAGTCTTCTCTGCAGTCGCGGACACCTTTTTGATATTTCCAGTAGTGAAGATGGGAGCAGATATTGTTCTCAGTCTTCTCCATCGATAACCGCAAGCATTAAAAATGTGAACTTCAGGAGTGGTGTCGGGATTTCTTCCAATTCCTCGAACCTAATATTGAAATTCAAAACTATGTGAAGGGGACTTTGTGAAAGTATCGTCATTGAACTATTCCTGTGCAAAGCGGAGTCAAATGATATAAATTTTTAGTCAAAAAGTTATTCTGTGGCAAGTGAAAATACCAAATTTAAAACTTTTCTAATTATCATTGCTAACAGCTATTTTTGCACACATTTTAATTAATAAACGGTGATAACTAACTCGTCTTCCATGAAAGTTATCGAATTTTTGGATAAACAGCTGACGCACCATATTCAAGTCATTGATCGCCAAAATGTTCGTTTGACCAACCTAGATGAAATTTGTAAACTACAGCTTTAGAGCTTTCTGGGCAGAAGGAGCCTAAGTAGATGACAATTATAGGAATGCTGAATGTGGTGCAATTATTGTAAAAACAGTGCTGATAAAAAATTGTACTTGAAAACCATAGTATTTTCCATACTGTTTTGTCCAGTCCCTAAAAACATATCCTTCTGGAATTTCATCACTTATAGCCTTAAAGAAATTTCCAATGAACGGTATGGATACTGGTCCAGGAATGTTGCGATCTTTCCAGTATCGGCTACGTTTATAACAGTAACTGCAGACAAATAGAGTTTAAAACTTTTATTTTATTCAATTTCTAAATTTTTTGTGTAAGATACAGTAAAGTAAGGTTTTAATATTCAGTACTTCAAAAGTATTTCTGACTTTATAAAAATGATTGGAACGGTAAAGAAAGTAATTAAAATAGCGAGAATCATTGCAGAAGAACTGAAAATAAGAAAAAATTATGAGAATAGAAGAACAATTTTTGTTTAAAGTTTTATTCATTTTGATCGTCTGCATTAAACTGGCAAAAATAAACTCATAGCTTTGATTAGAATCATTAGTTAGATTCAAAATTGGTAAGCTTCTTTTTCTTCTTCAAAAAATTCAGTCAAATACAAAATAGAATTTTTGATTTTTGAACGAGTTTGTGGTACGACAAGGAAAAAATGTTATGGAAGAACTTCAATTAAATTTATGAAATTATTGCCAATGGAACAACACTGACAGTTAAAAATGTATTTTGTAATTTATTGCGGTGATGCCATTGTAATGTAAAAGAGACCGATGATTAGTAAGATCATTTCTAAGCAAACAACAGAAGTACTGATATTATGTGCACATAACATTCTGATTCCTTAAAGAAAACTTGGAAGGCAACCGTCTATTGGGTAACACGTGTTTAAGACTGAGCAAAGATCTGGTCGAACAGATAATTTCATCATTGAAGACGTTTTAACCTTATAACAGTGTCAAACAGATAGCTTTTATCAACGTTGACCAATCTATTGTAAATTTACCGTTCTTGTTCAATAAAATATTCAATTATTAGGTGCAAAAACAGTGATTGTATTTTATTAAAGAACTATTGATTTCACAATTAATATCACCAAAATAATTTCAGGAAGGAAACAAGTTCAACTTTCTGATTATGTATATGTTTATACAAAAATGCACCTGCATTTATTATACGTATATATCAGCTTACTAATATGTCACTAAATTTTTCACTAGCAAATACTACGAGTTTGACACCTGTGTCAATTAAACAGCGGTTATCAGTTCTCATGTAGTCATTTTTGTTATCATCTTTTTAAAACCAACGACTTTGACGAAAAAGAAGAATAAAAAAATCTTTTATTTAAAAGTTATTTACACTTCACGTTAAAATAGTGACCAAAAACCGACAAAAATTGTTCCATCTATAATTTATAGATATCATAGAGTTGCTGAAGCTGTTCCAGTATTTACTGATCGTTCTATTAATCGTCGAGCAATGACAAGACGTTGAATTTGACTGGTACCCTCATAAATTTGAAATATTTTAGCATCTCTCATTAGTTTTTCTGCTGGATATTCAGTACAATAGCCGTTACCTAAAACAGAAAACTGTATTCAAGTGGTCTCTATCATTGCGCGTAACAGTTAATGCTGCAAAAACTTTTTAAATTTATAAACAAATTACTTTTACTATACCGTTGAATAATAATTTTAGATTTATTCGAGTCGCAAATGTGTACAGTAAAAGTGATTAAATTATTATTTCTTTGAACAACGCAAGAAAGTGCTTTATAAAAATTCAAAAATTACTTTTTTTTTTGGGCTTTAAACAATTTTAAGAACAACTATTGAAGCTTTGCCTTACCTCCGAAAATCTGCACAGTGTTCAAAGCGGCTGCCATAGCTGTATCTGCAGCAAAACACTTGGCAATTGATGAATAGTACGAACCTGGACGTCCCACATGAAGTTCATAAGCACCCTTGAAAGCCATCAATCGTGACAGTTCCAAATGCATCGCCATTTCCGCTAACATGAATGAAACACCCTTAAAAAATAACTTTTGAATTTCCATCTATATTAAAATAAAGTTATTATAAATAATAAAGTTTTGGAAAAAAATTTTACCTGGAAGTTGGCAATTTCTTGCTTGAAAGCTTTACGCTCCAGTGCGTATTTGGTGGCCTCATCGAGACATCGCGCCGCTACACCATTTGCCATAGCAGCGACCATTGGTCTAAACTACGTCTAATATGACATTTTCAATATTAATATCATTCTGATACTAAAAACTAGCAAATATCTGCATTAACCTTGTTTTATCAAAAGTTTTCATAGCAATTACAAAACCACCTCCCGGTTCGCCAACAACATTTGAGGCAGGTACGCGAACGTCTTCGAATGTAATCGCTCTTGTATCTGACGTTCTTTGTCCCAGCATAATTTCCTACAATAATTTTTTACGTAAGTTGTTTAGTAAAACATTTTTTTTTTTTGCAGAAGATACTTGATCACTTTCTTCTAAGCAGATAAGCAAACCTTTTTTCCTTTTATCACTCCTGGTGTATCACTATCAACAACAAATCCAGTGAATGCCTTACTAGCAGGAACTTTAGGATCTGGATCGCTTCTGGTAAGTACAAAATAGAAATTGGCATGCCCGCCGTTTGTTATCCACATTTTTGAGCCATTTATAATCCACTCATCACCCTTTTTTTCACTTCGAGTTTTGATTCCAGCAACATCAGAACCTCCACCAGGTTCAGTAACCGCATATGACTGAAAAGCAAAAAGATATAGTGACTGCTACAAATTTATTTGTGCTTTAATTACTTAAATACGAAATTTACTTATTAAAATAACAGAGTTCAATTTTAAAACTTACTGCCATAATTGGATCCTTAATAAACCTGGGAAGATACTTTTTTTTAAGTTCTTCACTACCTCCAATTATGATTGGTGTAGCGGCCAACTCATTTGTAAGCATTGCCGCTCCTATTCCCGAACAACCATAAGCTATACTTTCATATAGTATGACGCTTGATATAGGATCAATACCTATTCCACCTGTATATATTAAGCAGTAATAAAATACCACTTCGTTTTGTTATAAAATTTATTTTAAAAATTTTTTTTTCAACTTTTACCATATTTAGTTGGTATATCTGTATTCATGAATCCATTTGCGTGAGCCTTCTTAATGATTGGCCACGGAAATTCCCCTGTCTGATCATAGTGAGCTGCTTTTGGAATAATTTCGTCTTTCACAAATTTTCTAATAACACCGTACAGTTCACGTTGTTCGTCAGTTAATTCTAAATTGTATTCGTTGGTTTCTTTTAAAGCAACAACAATCCACTGATCTTAATAACAAGATTTTGTAAAATGACAGGAAAGCTGGTAAAATAGATAAAATAAACGTACCAAAATTGAATCCTATAGTGTGTGGCAGATGTTCAGAAATTGGTGCTGTTGATGCTGTTGATGCTGTACGTCTCAGAACTGTACCCAAAAGATTCGCTAGTTTTGACGATAACATTGCTAAACAATGCTTTATGATTATCACATGATGAACTATGGTTCAATTTCCTGATATTTAGAAACATGCATATAAGACATCAAATTTTATTTATTTATTTCTTTATTCTATCGTTTATTCATTTTTTTATACTACAAACATTTAACTAATTTACCTATTTTACCATTAATAAGTGTAAAAAAAAAATCGTGAACTTCCGGAGTCAATTGTAATTAGTTTCATAAAAACATTATCGAAAATAATTTTTCTGTAACAATATAAAATTAAGGAAAGGTTAAACGAAAAAAAAAAAAAAAAA